GGGGGTGCTGGGGGTTGCACCCACTGCCACGTGGCCTATCCCAGTGAGGTTAGATGAGATGGGGCCATGGCTAAGCCAATACGGTAATAGGGCTGATGTGGAGTTGTTGCACAGGGGTTTTGAGTCGGGTTTCTTTATTCCTTTCAGGGATAGGGGTGGGTCGAGCGGGTTCCCTGAGGTGGTGCGGGGACAGCTGGACAAGGAGGTGCAGTTGGGCAGGATGGCGGGCCCTTTCGTAACGCCCCCTCTGGCGGATTTGCATGTGTTTTCACTTGGGGTGGTTCCCAAGGGGGAACCGGGTAAGTTTCAGCTCATTCACCACCTCTCTTACCCACAGGGGGCGTCAGTGAACAATGACATCGTTAAGGAGCTATGCTCCGTCTCTTACGCATCATTTGACCAAGCGGTCAAGTTGGATAAGAAGGCCGGGTCTCGTGCCTTGATGGCGAAAGTAGATGTGGAGGCGGCTTTCTGCATGTTACCCGTCCACCCGGCCTGTCATCACTTGCTGTGTTGCTTCTTTGAAGGGGAGTATTTTGTCAACTTGTGTCTGCCGATGGGCTGTTCAATTTCTTGCTCGTACTGCAAGAAGTTCAGTTCTTCCTTGGAGTGGTTTGTTCGGATGGAGGCAGGGAGTAAGTCGGTGGTGCACTACCTAGATGAATTTTTGTAATAAATTCTGCTTCTTCTTTTTTTTTTTTTCCAGTAGATTGATATATACGTCTTTTGTATATATAGTCTTGGGTCAAAGGCTCGCTACATTAATATACATTTATATTAATGAAAAGTACTAATATGCAATCTGACTTCTGGTTTCTTCAGGTTTATTCTTAGTTACTGATACATAATAAAACAACAAAGGATGTTACATGATCATGGATGTTCAACAGCAGATGGTAATTGCTGGACTCCTGAAGGGAGAGTTAAATCTTTACATAACTGAGAGAGAGACCGCGTGTTCCTTTGTTCAGTTACTATATAGATGTGCCCATACTGACGTCAGACTATAACTCTAGCCATATGACGACGCTAGCCTTTTGGTTCAAGCTGCAAGGATGAGAAGACCTAACAAAAGCTTTCATGATTCTCCAGGCGCTCAAGTGGTATTGGAAGGGGCGCAGGGTGGTTCTGGACGCCAGGAAGCCAGTGTCCGTGAGGGTGTTGGGGGATCTTGCTCGAGTGTTACTTGAGGTTTATTTCAATGGTTTTGAAGGGCTGTTGTTTAGCGCAATGTTTCTATTGGTGTTTTTTGGGGCATTCCGGATCGGGGAATTGGGGAGCACTAATCGGGGGACTATGGGGAGTATCCAGGTGTCAGACGTTCCTAATGTTGGGAGACTCATTCTTCGCTTGGCCCGGTCCAAGACCGATGTCAAGGGTTTGGGCTAGGACATGACGCTGTGTCCCCTTCCGGGGTCACCATTATGTCCAGTTGCAGCGATATCTGGCAAGGAGGCCGACTGTTGGGGGGGTCTTTATTGGTGCATGCGGACGGTTCTTCCCTGTCTCGCTTTCAGTTTACTAGGGTTTTTTAAGTTAGGCTTGGCAAGACTGGGGTTACAAGCTGGTTAGTTTGGGACAAATTCCTTCTGCATCGGGGCAGCTCCGGAAGTGACACGGTTAGGCTTGAGGGAGGCCTTGGTCAAGAGGATTGGGAGATGGGAGTCGGTAAGGTTCCGCTCGTATGTATGGTTGGGGCTGTTGGAGTGAGAAGGGTGGAACTGGCAGTCCTGGGAGTCAGTGTAAATGTTTTGTTTGTCTCCCCAGGAAAATTTTCATGATCATCAGTCATTTGTTCGTTTCCTGGGCCGAGAGGAGGGCTGCAGCTTGAATTAAGGGTCAGCAGCTGGGCTTTCCGGTGGACCAGTTAGCGATTCGTTGGTTTGGTTTCAAGGGGTTTCTGGTAGGGAGACGTGTGTAATACTGTGTTTCGGATGATATTGGGGGGGGGGGTAGGCCTGATTTTTTTTGTTCTACACGCAGGGGGGAACGATCTGGGCCTGGTACCCTGGGGTACTGGTGTTGTGGTCGGAGACAGTTCCCCGGAAGCAGTGGAGGCACGCGCGTGACCCATTAGCAATCGATCGCTGCCAAGAGAATAGCTGGAAGGGGGATTTCCCGGTTACTATCACTCGGATGGAGTTCACCTCTCCGAAGTGGGGTGGGGCCTCTGACCCTCAGTTAGCAGGAAGGGCTGCAGGAAGCTCTTTCTTCAGGGTGGCAGAGCTCAGACGGCTTAAGGGATCAAGGTCTGAGCTTGTGGTGGGATAGGGAGCTGAAGGATAGGAAATAGGCTACCCGGTAGGCTGGTTATGTAAATGGTTGAATATGGCTCTTGGTAAGTTTTGGTAGGTTTCGAGCCCTGTCGGCGGCTCAGAACCTGGTGGGGTATGGGGTATCTGGGTATACCCCTACCATGGTTAATTAAAACGTTGGCCCTTTAGGTTATGGTCATGTTGGAATACTGTTATATGTTATTTATATATAGGGGTCATTGCCTTTTATATCTAACTGAAGAACACGGATGTGATGGCGGGGTATGGGGCAATGACTTGTTAATTTATTATTACTATTTAATAAAAGCTGTGGACGATTTTGACCCATATACCCTAGGGGTTGTGTTTTATTGGGTTAGGTATGTGGGGCGTTTGATCTGATTCCACCTGTCCATATGGCGACTATGCACCTGTCATGCAATAAATGGCGAGGAGATTCTACCCAACTCATCATCTTCTTGGTTAATTCGCTAAACTGTAAAATTGTTGGGAGTTTACCAGAGATTTGCACATTTAAAGCCAGAATGGCTGAGCTTTTAGCTCTTTTTTGTAGTAGAAACATTACAGTTTGTACTCCTAACATTACAGTACCCCTGTCCTTATTTAGATGAGTCCCCCTTGTGTAATAAAAATGAGTACAATAAAGGTTTTACTTACCTTTTCTCCAGTGTCAAGCCTTCCGCAGTGTTGCTGCTGCTCCGCCTCCTGCGATGTCACTGTGGAGTCATCATATCACAGGCACTCATCATATCTAATGTTCCTCATAAAAGCGGGACACCAGAAAACAGTCAGGACCCAAAAATCAGGACTGTCACTGAAATCTGGATTATTGGGAGGCCTGAAAGTTCCTCAACCCAGCTATTCCAATAAATAAACCCCAAATGATAGATGTATGCTACATCTATTTTATAACCTTGTACAGCGCTCCCAAACATGTTGGAGCTTGATTTAGAAACGCTGGAACTTATTATAAGGTATAATACAGTATTAGAATTCTGAATCCCCACATCTATGAAAAAGTAAAACGGTATGTAACTCAGAAAACATACAGAACAACAATTAATCTGTAATTAGCATCTCCCCTATAACTTTCATTAACCAACTAATGAGTCTGGGTCATTTGTTAATGTTCTCCAGGGAACAGTGAGGCCACGTGACATGGGACTTACTGAATGAGAGTCTATTACTGAGTTCGTTTAACATTGACGGGGTTATTCACAAAGTGAAAATTCAAAGTGAATTTCATATTGAATTATTCACTGAATTCAATATTTAAGGTCACAATAGCTGAACAAGAAAAATTATCTCAGTCAGCTATGCTTTCCGATACTCTGGCTTTAAATTTGGAATTCACTGTGAATTCTCACGTTAGTAAATAACCCTGTGGGTCTGCCTGGTTAATAACGAATCTGTCTAGTTAAAAAAAAAGAGCACTTAAAACACTATAGCATGCTGTTGTGGTTATGGTGCCAGTAGATCCAGGTTTGGATGAATTAATTGACTGTTCTCACCAGTTGACTCTCTCAGTTCCGTCTAAAGACAGACATTGACATGTGAAATGAGCGACTGCTGCTTTATCTGAAGATGGGGCCAGCCCGTAGCTTCTGGGAGGACCAAGAGAGAGGTCATACTGTAAACAGTTTGTCAGCTTACCATAACCACAACAAAGATGTACGTAAAGGAACATCATAGTGTAAGGAATACAAACATGTATAGTGCAGGTGTTGCTATTTAGGTTCCTGGCCCCGCTGTCAGAGCAGTGAAAAGGTGATTTTACTTAACTTTTTTCCACACCATGCAGGGCTCGCTGCGGCTGGCCCACCTTGCTCCGCCTCCATGGCTGAGATCATTGAGACGCTATTGCACATGCGCGGCAAAACGCCACTCTGTGCCAATACGCTGCTCTGTGCCAATAGGCATCTCCTCATAGAGGAATCAATGCATCTCTATGGGGAATGTTCAGTGTCTATATGCAGAGCGCAGAAGCACTTTTAGTGGCCGTCTGAGTGACTGCACCTAGAGTGTTCCTAGACAGCAATGAAAACACTGCCTTTCCACTGAAATTACAGTGTGTACATTAAAAAGCCTGCAGGGACAGGCAATATACACCATAATCACTACATTAAGTTGCATAATGTACATTGAGCTGTATACTATACATTAAGCTCCATATGATAGATTAAGCTGTATAATGTACATTAAGCTGTATAATGTACATTAAGCTGTATACTTCTATTCCAGAGTGAGCAGTAACAGTGATATAGGAAGGGTAGTAGATACCTGGAATGGCCTTCCAGTGGGAGCAGTAACAGTGATATAGGAAGGGTAGTAGATACCTGGAATGGCCTTCCAGTGGGAGCAGTAACAGTGATATAGAAAGGCTAGTAGATACCTGGAATAGCCTCCCAGTGGGAGTAGTAACAGTGATATAGGTAGTAGGAGCAGTAACAGTGATATAGAAAGGGTAGTAGATACCCAGAATTGCCTTCCAGTGGGAGCAGTAACAGTGATATAGAAAGGGTAGTAGATACCTGGAATAGCCTCCCAGTGGGAACAGTAACAGTGATATAGAAAGGGTAGTAGATACCTGGAATAGCCTCCCAGTGGGAGTAGTAACAGTGATATAGAAAGGGTAGTAGATACCTGGAATAGCCTTCCAGTGGGAGCAGTAACAGTGATATAGGAAGGGTAGTAGATACCTAGAATGGCCTTCCAGTGGGAGCAGTAACAGTGATATAGAAAGGGTAGTAGATACCTGGAATAGCCTTCCAGTGGGAGCAGTAACAGTGATATAGAAAGGGTAGTAGATACCTAGAATAGCCTTCCAGTGGGAGCAGTAAAGGCTAACAGTGATATAGAAAGGGTAGTAGATACCTGGAATAGCCTTCCAGTGGGAGCAGTAACAGTGATATAGAAAGGGTAGTAGATACCTGGAATAGCCTTCCAGTGGAAGCAGTAAAGGCTAACAGTGATATAGAAAGGGTAGTAGATACCTAGAATGGCCTTCCAGTGGGAGCAGTAACAGTGATATAGAAAGGGTACACCTTTCCAGTGGGAGCAGTAACAGGGATATAGAAAGGGTAGTAGATACCTGAATTAGCCTTCCAGTGGGAGCAGTAACAGTGATATAGAAAGGGTAGTAGATACCCAGAATAACCTTCCAGTGGGAGCAGTAACAGTGATATAGAAAGGGTAGTAGATACCTGGAATGGCCTTCCAGTGGGAGCAGTAACAGTGAAATAGAAAGGGTAGTTGATACCCAGAATAACCTTCTAGTGGGAGCAGTAAGGAAATGTAGAAGGCTGGGGCTGTGTATCAGGTTATTTTGGAGAGTGAATTGGAATGAATTATTGTGCGGTTACAGGCGCAGGTAGACTGTATGGGCTGATCCTATCTGCTAGCGCAGTCTGTGTTTGTATATTACAATGACACCAGATATAACGATACCCAATGAACAGGGAAATGGACCAGAATTATGATTATTTTAATAATATTTGCTCTTCCCCAACCCCCCCGTTCCTTGCTCTCCACTTTGATAGCTATCTGCAAGTCGAACATTAGTTGCCGTGCCATTTGGTTACGACTTAGCCATTCATTTAACACTTCGTTGCCACCCTCTCCCAGCTGGCTACTCCGACACCGCAGATTGCACTCCATGTCATAATTCAATTGTTTGTTTTTTCCCATTTTCCAGTTACGTGATTTGCACTCAGAATTCCCCAAATGCTGCAGTTTCAAAAATCTTCAAATGTAGTCTTTATTTTTTATTTCTGAGATTTTTAACATGGCCAACTTTGGTTATGCAGGAAGCTTGCTATAATGTCACCTGCTCCTTAATATGAATGCCAGAAAAATATAAACAAATATAAATAAAATGGAAAGAAAAGCCCTTTCTGTACAATGGAAACGCAATCCCGCATACAGCAGCCTTGTTTATTTGCATTTCTTCTGTATTTGTTTTAGATACGATATCCTCCCTTTGAGCAAACACTGGGTGCTGGAGTTATCCTTAAACTGACAAAGCAAGAATGAATATGCACAATGTACACACACGTAGCGAGCCGAATATAGCGGCCAATTATCTTTTAATTCTCTTCCTGTCTTGCTTTGCCTCTTTCATCTCCTTGTTCTCTTTTAAAATTATTTATCTCAGCGAACGCTGTTTCAGCCCCTGGGACCACATCCAACTTCGCATATTTAACTACGCGAGGCTTGCCAGATGCTTTGAGTCGAAAATAAAGTCGGTGGTGGTAGTTTAAAATTAGGCTTTGATACTAAATAAATATCTGTTTTCCAATCAATACCTAACTTACTATGAAAAGAGAAAGCATATTTTAATCAGACGCCCTGAGGAATTGGATGCGCAATTCTTCGGGTTTCACGATTCAGCATTAAAATCACCATTCGTTGCTAGATAATCGATCAATATGTCCCCTCATATTGAGAACACGTCCACTGCTTCACTGCTTTCTGGATCATTTGCATGAAAGCAAAATAGCTGCATTTTAATCTGCATGCATTGACATCGCTCGTTGCATTCATGCAGAAACGTGATAGAACAAATGGCAGCAATGTACTAAGATCAGTAGATCACGCTGCATGGGTCTGTTCCAAATATGGATTAAAAGGTTAGGGCAGGGATCCCTCTAAATAGGGACAGTTGGGTGGGATGATCTTACAGCCACGATGCTGGCAAGGCATCAGGGAGGATATAGTCCACAATATATGGAGGGTAGGGCAATGCGGGCGTTTACTAAGAAATAGGAAATTGCAAAAGCCATCAGTGGAGCTGTAAATATATTACCTGCCAATAAAGTCTTTCAAAGGACACAGCTGGAACCTTTAATGATGCAGTAATGAGATTAGTAAAGCCAGGCCTTCAAAGGAACACTGTAGGCACCATAACCCCTTCAACAGATTGAAGTGGTTATGGTGCCTGGAGTAGGTGGGCACTGGGTCCCACATCACTGCTAAGCGATTTATTCCACGTGTAGCAGAATCGTTTTACAGATCTGGCAGCCCTGTCTCCAATGATGACGGGACAGAGGAGGACCAGGCGTTGTTCTCAGCCAATCATGGCCCCAATCTCTGGTATGGACTGATATAGTGTGAGACGGAGTATGATCATTGGGGCAAGGCTGCTGTGAACTGGTAATCTCTATGGTGAGAAACTATTAGCAGCGATGCAGGACTCGTCACCCACTGACTCCAGGTACCTAATGCTGATGACCTCTCCTCGCCCGCCGACGTTAGCTCCCGATTGCGTATGCGCGACCAGAGGCGCGTGCGCATTCACACCCCCTCATAGTACAGCATTACTCAATGCTTTCCAATGGGGATCTTATTTGACGCTGGACTCCGTGAGGACGTCCAGCGTTAAATAATTGCCATTTACTCCGTGTAAATCAAGGAAGCGGCCTCTATTGACTGTCAGAGAGACAGCCACTAGAGGCTGGATTAACCCTGCAGTGTAAACATAGAAGTTTCTCTGAAACATGTTTTCAGCTGCAGGGTTAAAACTACGGGAGACTTGCACTCATACCACTTCATTGAGCTGAAGTGGTCTGGGTGCCTATAGCGGTCCTTTAATTACCTATGACAGTCATAACAATATATTCTTCAAGTCGCTCATTTCAGGACAGAGAACGTTAACATCTGGTCATTATGGAGTTAATACAGAATCTTTCATAGCGTAAATTAGAAATAAAAAAAAAAAGGCCACAGATATATAAAACGTGTTGTGCTGATTTTACCTATGTTTCCAAGTCCAATCTGCAAAAACAGCCTCAATGACACCTCATATACCTAGGGAAATCGCCCAAATTTCTTTAAATGCCTCTTACAGCGCAGCAGTACCATAATCACCGAGTGTGAGTCATGACACCTAAAAGGGCGATTTATAATAATTCTAAATGTGGAGCATTCAGCAGGTTCATTTCATTGGTTCCATGGCAACTGCTCCACTTGTAGAATGTTCCCTTAGAATCGCTCTGTATAAATAATCCTATTAAATACCTTTAGAAACATAGAATGTGATGGCAGATAAGAACCATTTGGCCCATCTAGTCTGCTCAACGCATGTAAGCGCGATGACATGGAGTGTGTTACCGTTAATATGAACCTGTTTGCAGTCAGAGATCTTATTCTGCGTGCTAAATACACTGATAAACTGTAATAATGATAAAAAATAATATCTGGCTCTGGGGGTTTATTTACTAAATAATTTGTTGTTTTCAGTTCATTTTGCTTTTCCAGGCCAAAGTAGTCAAATTCGAAACATGCCTAGTTCTTCTACATAGTACAATTTATATGTTTTAACAAAAATGTTCTTGCTAAGCACCATAACAACTTTACATGATAACAACTGTTCTGATAGCAGCTTATACATGCAGTGACTTGTTATGGAAGCCCCACCCTGTGTTAATGCAGCAGTTCCAATCATACTGGGTGATGATTGGAGCTGTGATTTGGGCATAAAAGGCTTCAAAAGGGCACCCAGACCACTCCAGCTCATTGAAGTGTCCCTGTGAGTTTACCCCTGCGATGGTAATTAATTATCGCAGTTATTAAAAAAAAAAAAAACTAATTACCTTGCACAGTTAGCTCCACCTCTAGTGGCAGTCTACCAGACCGCCACTAGAGCCACTTCCTGCTTGCTAGGTGACTGACAACTTTATATTCCTAGCATTATAGTTTCCATTTACCTCAAGCCCCTGCTGGACAGAAATTTAGTGAATAAGATCAATTTCCTTAGACAAGATTGGGCAGCTTTTAATTGGTGAAGGCAACTGCCTGTAGTTGCAAAGAAATTCCATCTCAGCTGAGCGCCTAAAAAAAAAAAAAAATTTAAATTTGATTTAACTTGTTCCCCATTTTGTCATATTTATTAAAGAATTACCTGTATTTTAGTGCATTACAAATAAAAAGATTCTCCCCCCCCCCCTTCCCCCCAATAGTTTTGCATTAAGTTCACTGTTTAGTGAATAAGTCTCTGCTCAGATTTCAGGGAGTGCCATTTCCTGCAGTGGGAGGGAAAGTTTAGCTTTTCACTCTTGACGTGTTTCCGTTAGTAAATATACCTGTATTCTGCAAGAGCATTTCTGATCTTACGGAGTGATTGCATTCCAATTGCAGACAATACTCAGCATCCAATGCCATAACACAAACAAACAGGTTTTACACCCCAGGAGCCCATATTCAGCTCCCTGTGTTTTGTTTTCTGATAGGACTGACTGATAGGGACAATATTAGCACAAAGAAAGGGTGTGTCGTACAAATGTCAAAGGTGCTAATTGCGGTAAATATATTACGTCCATATGATACTTTCTTTTTTGCGAGATATGGTTTCACTACTATTTACTTTGCAAACAGCGTTTCTGTGCCACGTCGTCAAATCTTATTTGCACTTCTTCCTTCAACATGCAAAGTTGTGTACAATATGCAAACAGAATACCCCATTACACCTGCACAGCTCGTCCCGCAGGTTCCCTTACTTTACCAGCTCACCTGCTCACATCTCGAGCAAGCGAGATAGGCTGCAGCAGAGCAGCTTTATCTGGTTTTTAAGGCGAGATAATTAAATGGATTCCTGACATTCTTCAGCTTCACTTAATATAGAATAATGATTAACACAGCTTGGGAGAGCAGAGCCTGGCAGGCAGACATGCAGCTCGTGGGGAAGCTGGCATTTTCTGTTTCTGCGTTATTTGTATTGGCATTGGCGTACAGATTCTATAAGTCACGAACACCTGAGAGAGCCAGCATATCGAGGGAAGATGCTACTGTTCTCACAGGAGAAGAAGCTAGGACTTCTGAGGTTCCTCGGCGAAGTTACGAGGAGGATGAAACCACTGGACTGCGGCTCAGACGGTCATACAACAACCTGCAGGACAGCAAAGTCTCCGATCTGGACAACACACACCTGTCCGATAAACCTTTAAATACACAGCGGCTTCTCCTTACAGCTCAAAAAGGATTACAAAGAGTAGAATGGGAGACAGGAGAAAATAAAACCAGAACTGCAACCTGTGAAAATCAGACGGATGCAAAGAGTGCAGTAGTACGAGAAAGAGGCAGCCTTCCAGATCCGGAACAGTGTCAGAACCAGGACTCTCTGCAAGAACAAACTAGAAAAGTAGACAGTTGTGATGGAAAATCCACTGAGAGTCCCGGTCAGAATTACCGTCAGGATCCAGAAGGAATAGAAATGAATGTAAATTTGGATTCGGGGAATGAAATTGGTGGCTCAGCAAGAGCCATCCAAAACATAGAGACACTGTGTGACATTAATGTGACAACCAGTCAAGACCATCAGATCATCCACGAACAGCACAGGTTCTCATCCACAGCTCAAGTTCAAATAGAGGAGAATATCATCCAAGAGACATCGGTTGAAGACACCTCTCCAGCTCACAATCAAACACCAGGATGCCTGCGAGGAAAGGTCTACAATTATCATGTAGAGTCCACTTCACAAACATTAAGAGAAAGAAATGTTAATGCTGGGGCCAGCCCCTCTGACCAATCTCTCGCTCATCTTAAGGCAGACCTGGAACCTTATGATGAGAAAGAAAGTGTGATAAATCATCCTGATCAAACCGACAACATTGAGGCAGATAATTTAGGATTATTCCATTCACAAGGCCAACCAAAGGATTCTAGTAACAATGAAGATGATATTCCAAGTCTGGAGACTAGGTCTGAGAGTGGGGAATATAAAGGTTCTGTGATACCTTCCTCAAACCAAGCCGTAAGTAGAGATATACAGTTTGATTCCAGTGCTGCTACATTTCATGTCTCTCTGAATCCAGAATCCACCTTTGATATCCATCTTGAGTTGGGGAACTGCTACGAGGTGTTGTCCTTAGCCAAGAAGCACAACCTTGATGACATTAAGGTGGCTGCCTACAAGGTCATGAGCATCAACTACCTGCAGGTATTACAAAACCCTTCTGTGTACGGGCGCCTGAATGCCACAGAGAGAGACTTGATTCTAGACATTCGAATGAAGGGCAGGAGATATGTTGTGGTTGCTGACATTGACACCCCGGGTTATTCTGATTCTCAAAACCACAGTAGTCTGAAATACTATGACAACATAAAAAACGTGTGGCACGTACTGTCTGACATCCCAAAGGAGGCTGTGTGCAGGGGATGCTCTGTTGCTACCATGTTCAATTATATTTTTGTCGCCCTTGGATCTGAAAGTCCTGAGAGACAAATGAAACCATCGAAACGCGTTGTTTGCTACAACCCACTCACAAACAACTGGCGAGAAATCTGTCCTCTAAAAGAGGCTAGGCCTCACTGCAAACTGGTGGCACTCGATGGGTATTTATATGCCATTGGAGGGGAGTGTCTTCACACCGTCGAACGCTATGACCCACGCCAAAACAGGTGGTCTTACGTTGCTCCTCTTCCCAATGACACTTTTGCTGTAGCCCACATGGCAGCAGCCTACGATGATGAGATTTACGTTACTGGTGGGACTATTCGGTACATGCTTTTGAGATACCGTCCCAAGGAAAATGTCTGGAAAAACAGCATTATAAGTGGAAGTAAAGACAGAACCACAGACATGGTGGCTGCTAATAATTTCTTGTATCGATTTGATCTGAACCGTAGCATGGGGATTAGTGTTCACCGCTGTAACATCAGAGCCAGGATTTGGTATGAATGTGCCAATTACCCAATGCCGTACCCAACGCCTTTCCAATGTGCCGTCATTGACAACAATATCTTCTGCATCAGCAGAAATTTCCACCTGCGTTTCCTGACAGACGACATCTCGCCCAGGTTTGTGGATGGGGATCTTACAACTTTACCCCAGCCAAAAGGTGTGCTTTACCCCTTGGTCCTTCATCTCCCAGTAACGACATCCTACTGACCATTATTAAAGTATACAAGCAACTTCAAAACATTATATTAATGAACAGAGCAAAAAAGAATATTCTTAACATTTGCAATGTTTAAGCTAAAATATAAAAAAAAAAAAGGTTAAATATATTTTCCAACATGTACTCCTACTCCAACTTGTTAATCACTGGTTATAGTGTCTCTTGTTCTCTTTTAGTAACTGGTGCTGGACTCATTGAATTTTAGCTTGGCCTGCCTTCCTCTTATGACTGTAATATATAGTTTTACATGACAGCAAGGTTGTATTAATGGCTAAAAATAAGTTATACATGAACCAAACTAAGATCAAAGAAACCTGATTGTTCTTTGACTACAATACCCAGAATCCTCTGACATCAATAACTGATGCAGCATGGAAATCATGTTTTATGCTCTGTTGATTAATGTGAATTTGTTTTATTTTTATAGATGTAACAATTATTTATACTCACTGTACATTTTTAGACAGCAGCCAACAACTGGGTTTAGAGAGAGTTTTCTGAGTCCCGCGCTAGTTATACAGATGTACATAACATATAAAATTGAGCTATGTGGCTCGATACCAAAACAAGATCATGCATTCTAAATAGGGGCCTCTCTGCTTCTGCACAAAATTTTCGAAATATATATTCTGCATTCATAAAGACTCAATGAACGCTCTAAATCTTCAGTAGCCGAGCAAAAATCCCAAATTCAGAGTAATTGCTGCACATTACTCCAGTAATTCACTGATATGACTTTCTAACTGTTAAACACATGATCTTTAGATTTTGCCTCAAAAGGTATAATTCATGCTTTGCATGTAAATGAACCCAGTATCAGGAGAATATTATCCAGAAAAGGCTTCATGCGGAATATAGCTAGCAATGGCTTTATACTCACTAAACAGTGAGTTGAGTTGGCAGCTGACTTGCAATATTTGGACTAGATAATTGTGTTACAAAATAACCCAAAGCCCAGTTCCCTTTAATATTATTTCTATAACTGCGAGCTGTTAACAGACGACAAACCACTGTTCAGTGAATAGAGCCTCAGAGAGCCCACAGCTTTCTAACAAGATTATCTAAAGATATGCAATCAATAATCAATAAAATAAAAGTTTGAATTGAAACACTCAAATTAATTTAATTTATCTAAACATTGAAATGTGGCAAATTAACTAAACTGTGAAATTCAGGCTAAAATAGCCACGCGGAGACTATTTCTGCAAAGGAGAATTTTTCCAAATTGGCTATTCTGGCCTGTATTTTAAAATGCAGTTTTTAATTAGGAAATAAAGTGCTGAGTGTCTGCACACAGATTCAGTGATAGCAGCCACCTGCAGTGTTAGTATCCCTAAATATACACATTGAGCTACTCTGGCCTTAAACCGGAAATTCACTTCAAATTATTATTATTATTGCCATTTATATAGCGCCAACAGATTCCGTAGTGCTTTACAATATTATAAGAGGGGGGATTTCACTATAAATTGATCAATTACAAGAAAAAAAATCCAGGAATGATAAGGTTGAAGAGGACCCTGCTCAAACGAGCTTACAGTCTGTAGGAATTTTCACTCTAGTGAATAACTGTGAATCTGGATAACCTATGGGGCACTCTTGTGTGCAAATGGGAACTAAATAAAGGAGGGGGATTTACCCAAATTGGACAAATTTAAGCCATAAAATTACCAATCCTGGGGTAGAATACTGAATTTGGAGAATGTCCTTATATTCTAATGGCATATACCTTGTGCTAAACCATGAGTTCTCTTACTGATATATCTCTCAGACTCCTCCCCCTAGTTCTAAACATGTGGCTGAGCATTATGAGAGTGGCCATGCAGCAATAATTGGCACGTTGTCTTTTGTCTATCCCTGCAGTCCGCGAGCATCTTTGCACCAGGATGATAAATATGGCTTTATGAGTGTGAGTGACAGATATCTGTCCTGTCACTGAGCTGGTTTAGAGATACTGCTAGATTTATCAAGTTAATACGGGCTGTTCTGGGTGCAAAGTGCTAAATGTCGAGACATTCCTTGGTAATTTCTCCTTACGTAGCGATTTGCCCCAGAATTGCACCTATTTTGGCCTTGATAAATCTGCCCAATAGTTTATGATTTAAAGCTCAGGAAACCTTCTGAAGTCCCAGTCCGTTTTATGATGTCATTGATTCAGACGCCAAGTGCCAAGGGCACAGTAAACGTCCGCACTTTGTATAGTTAGATTGTAACCTTTACTTCGCTCAGTTTATTGGTCCATTAACGAGTTACTATCTCATCACATGTGGCAAAGCTGCTAATTAAACGGTTATATAGTATACCGTGTCTGCACCACCAACAGGATTATGGGCGATGTAGTTTAACTGCTCTGGTAAACAGACAGTAACTATTAACCCTTTACACGCAGCGTGTCCTGTCCACCATTCTAACAATGGGGTTTACATACCAAACAATGGTTTGAGATGTTTTCGAAAGGAATTATAAAATTGAAACTTTAAACTCAGCAGTTTTTACAAGTCGAATATGTTGGTCTAATCCAGGAGTCCTTAAACGGTGGCCCTCCAGGTGTTGCTGAACTACAACTCCTATGATTCTTTAAATTACACAGATAGCCAGAGAATCATGGGAGTTGTAGTTCAGCAACATCTGGGGGGCCGGAGTTTGAGGACCCGTGCTCTAATCTTTTTACGTTCTTTTTTCGACTGCCAAGAAACCCATTATTCTGAACACTTACCTATCCTGAGGCATGTTGGGTGTGCTCAGGCACAATCTAATTGGCCAATTTGTCCCTGCTGTCATCCATTTAGATAGATACCTACCTGCGCATGTTAATCAGTTTTTAATTGCTTGTTATCTGCTGAATGATAAAGAGAATATTGCTGGGTACACCTGCTATCACAGAGTAATAAACTGCATCATATTCTTTAAAGGGACGCCCTCAGCACCAAAGCAACTACAGATCTTTGTCCCTATCCCACCCTTTTTAAATTAATGGTATCGATTGGCTGTGTATCCCAGCTAATCAATGCTGTCCAAGTATGGAAAAAGTGGATCTTGCTAACACAAATGTAAATTCTGAATTAGCAATACGGCAAGCAAGGGACAGGACTTAAACATGGTTTGACACAGAGCCAAGGGCTAGGAGCCTGCTAGCACTGAACCAACTACCATGGGCTGCAGTGGTTATAGTGCTTGAATGTCCCTTTAACCCCTTAAGGACACATGACATGTGTGACATGTCATGATTCCCTTTTATTCCAGAAGTTTGGTCCTTAAATAACAAAAGGCTGTTAATTAAAACAAAACAATTTTAGTTTTTGGGTGGATTAAAATACTTGTTCTGTGAGATTTTGCTATTTATATATGATTGCCTTTTACCTGTGACTGCACACCGTAATAACGTTCCAGAGAAGGTTGTGTACATTTCATGTGCCTGTACACACAGGGGCGAGAGTAAATGGCACCAATTCTAGGCCTGAACCTTAAAATCTACTAATTAACATGTTTTCTCTGTGACTGTACAGGCAGCTAAGCACAATGAGCCCGTAAAGCTTGTCATTTAGAGATAAATGGTCTGTAATTGAGGTAACCTGACAATTAGGAGATGTGTGAAATGTGTGAAAATGAAAGGGAGATCTCTCTTGGAAGAGCTCGATGGATTCCGGCTGTGCTGCCGGCAGATTCAGGGAAAGGGACAGGGAGCCCATAGGTAATGAATCCTGCCTGTAATGATAAAATATAGCAATGCTCAGAAAATACATAAATCATGCAGGGCAGACTGTTGTGTGTGTCTTGATCAGAACTGCTGTGAATCGTTACACCATGAAAAGCAGACTTTAAAACATAGCCCAAATTAATCAGGACAGATATCAGCACCTCACAGCTCACTTATTAATGAATAAAAACTTAAATCATACCATTCTTCCTGAAGGGGTTAATATTTCAACTGCTACTATCTCTTTAACTCCGGATGTATGAGAACTCATGGGAAGGGAAAAATTGGGGTAAAAAAAGAATTATAAAAACAGAAAATGTTGTTTTCCAGATAAGAATATTAATATGGAGGTTTTCCTCGCCTGCGCAAAGTGTTCACATTACAAATTATTGTATTAATTCCAACATTTACGAAGCGAGTTTCCCTGATAATGTAGAAAACAGAACAATTTAATGTACAGTTTTGTGACTTAATACGAGCCGCAGGATTTTAAACGATGATATTTGCAGTTTTACAGAGGCATTATTTTTTCGATTCACGTGATCCGCAGGATGTAAACATTATTTGAAAATAAGCGTTTGGTGATTGTAGGCCGCAAAGGCTATTAGCAAAAGGTTCCTGTAAGCGACAGATGTTAAACAAAATTCACGCAAATGCAGCATAATCTTACAAATCATTCTCTTTGAGGGGGAATAATGTGTGACAACATATTGAGCTACAATGTAATTTTCTTAAAGCACAGCTGAAATCCGCATTATTTTAAATGAATTTTATTTTTTTTAAATAATGTAATTTTATTTTATTGAGATTAATATATATTAAAAAAATTAAATATATTTATAAACGTGATAAATGTCTCCTGTTTTCAATCTTACCATGCTTTCGTCTCCAGACTAAATATTATAATATGATTGAAGTTAGAGCGTTTTGTATTTTCAAACATTTTTCAGACCATTTAAGTAAAATAGAGGTCTGAATAAGGCCGAGTCAGTGGCAGAACTACAACGGCTGCACCGGGGGCCTGCACGCTCTGAGTGCCCATCGGGGAGCCCATGGACTTAGGGCCACTCGAAGAGTATTATTTTTTTATTACTATACCTAGACCTAGTCAGGTGCCGAGACCCTTTAAGAACCTGACCAGGCCCATGTAGTGTTGGACGACTGAGAGGAAGGGACAGACAATCACTTCTTCCCATCTTAAATAGAGACCGCTGCGTACACTACTGCATTCCAATGGAAACTGTACATACAAATACACATAAACTCCTCACAAGAACATGCTGACATGCAAACGCACAATCACTGCTCTCAAATACAAACCTGCAAAGGTCGGCAGTTGGTAGATCCCCAGCTGGCATAGCATTGTTGGAGTTATACGACAGTCAGAGATCTAACTTTTGGCCACTCTCACACTAAAGACGACCCAAAAAACTTTCTGGCACCAGGGCCCTCTCTACATTAGTTCCGCCACTAGGCCAAGTGTTTGATATACTGTTTTAAAAGTTTTTATCAAAATAACTTTAGCTCATAAAACCCTACTTACCTATTCATTTGCTCCACTATTAGTTTTCACCATGCAAGGAAACAAATTTCTTTACCAGGACAAAATTTAGTCCCTCTTCATCTCTGCGTAGGGACTGTAAATTGCAGCTCCTACTTCGATTTTCTGAAAATCTGCAGCAACTACTGTAGGTCAAACTTTACTCTTGCATTTTATCAGCCAGGAAAGAGGAAAGGGGGGGGCGTGGGCTCTGAACGCACTGAGTACACTACAGGGATTCATTGCAGACTGCAAAAGGGGATGGCAAGGTAACGTCATAAAAGTCCACCACTTTCAAACATCGAGATACATTTTTGTAGACAAGCTTTTCAATGCAGTCCTATTAGATGTACATTTTATATGCATCCCTAATTAAAATTGCAATCCAGTAGAAAGTATTTACAGCAAGACATCCTATCAGGAAAGAAGCCAAACAAATTTCTCTTTTGGCAAAAGGAAGTTTGGCTCTGTTAAATATTGCACTCTGTGATTATGTTTAAAAAAACAGATTTGCTGCAGTAAATGCTTGTATCTCAGCATGGTTATCATATGATTTTTTTTTAAATTCAATTTCCCTTTAAATTGACTTATTAACATTGCATCCGATCACGAGACAATGTCACATTGGAAAACACACTTTCAGAGCTACATCTATGATGACAGCACAGTAACAGTTAGCACGTCCACTTCCCCAGCTAGAAAGGAACGTATGCAAATAATAAACCATAATCACCTCTTTAGATGATAAGAAGTTATTCTCTCTTGCTTTTGCTAGACTTTTGCCATGAATCATTCCACCATAGTATGGGATAGATTTATTATGTTGGGTGTTTAAATGGACTCAATGAATCAAACACAGAATCCCATGTACAAAAGTTATTCTAAATAAAGGATTAAGTCCTTGATTGCAATCCAGCTGGTTATCTACTGGCAGTTGTTCGATAAGCCATTTAACGGTTCGTATCAATTTAAATCCAGTAATTAAATGCTAAGCAAGGCAGAAAAAAATCAGTTCACATATCAAATCGGAAGCCTAAACTTTGCTTTCAAAATTCCATTTAGTGGGCTCATAGTATGTAGTGCCCGGTAAACAGACCTATCGGATTCCACACCTAAAAGCTGTTGTTAAATCCTTTTTTAAATATATGCCTGTTGGAAAAGCTAGCAGCCAGCGGGCAAATAGCTTACAATAACCTTGTGGGGGTTAGTATGGGAGGTTTAAACCCTCCCGCCATGCCACCTCATGCCATGCCGCAGATGGGGCATATTTACTAAACAGCGAGCAGCCAAAAGACTACTGACTGCTTGCTAGTAATGTAGAGGTCCCCCCTGTGCGTTCACCCATGGGGATCAGGTGGGGGCTTTAAATAAAATGATGGGTGTGGACAGGTCAATGTATCTTTTTCCCATGTTAATATCCTGCACACTTTAGTTCCAGAGTCACATGGCGAAGATAAGTTGAGCTGCAGTAAATTTCATTTGGTCCAATGTTTATCAGTTAACATTGAGAGGTCTTCCTGCCGAACCGTTCGGGACATCACTAGTTAGAAGTGAATGTCTTCTGTGTATGCAAACAAAACTATTGTTTCTACGGAGCAAATTTAAATATAATTTTTTTTTCTCTGTTTTTCACTTTTTCTTTCCATTCTCAAAACGAGTCCGTGCCTCTACTTTGTCGACGTCTCGATTAAGGAACCAACTGCTGAATTTGCACAATTAATTTCAGTAATGGCTTTACACTGGTGCTTCATTTGAAAACGGTTAAAGTAACGAAGGCAGCAAGCTGTAAAATGTACCCTTTAACCTTCATTTCCAGTGGCCAAGTCACACTCATCTAGCTGCAGACCAGGCAGATCAGATTTCCCAGGGGTCTGCCATTATTCAGGCGGCGCAGGAGCTGACCTCCAATTTAACAATCAGCACCCATGTCCTATTTATCAACCTGCATTACCCTGATGAGCCTCACGGGAACAATTGTTCTTTTCCACAGTGTGCGTGTCCATTAGTACGTCGCTAGTACGCACCTTCCAAACATCAGACCTGCACAGAGAGTCAGATATTATCACAGGAAAGAACGCGCTGAATGCAAGGAGAACGAGCTGGAGAAAGACGTTATGAGACGGAAGAAACACATTGCATGAGAATATGGGATAAAACATGTTAAACCTATCAGATTTTATTTGGATTAAGAATATAAATTATAGGCAAAATTTAAAATGGAATGGCCTAGGTGGGAAAATATCCAAGATGGCTGAAAAGGCAGATTCTCTAAGGGTCTCAGGGGCAATGCGCAGATTCTCTAAGTAAATTGGCACAATCTTGGTAAATAAGCAGATTCTTAGGGTGAATGGGTAGATTCAAAGGGTAAATGGGAAGATTCTCAGGATGAATGGGCAGATTCTCAAGGTGAACGGGCAGATGTTCAGTGTGGATGGGTAGATTATTATCAGAGTAAATGCGCGGATTCTCTGGCTGAATGGACAGATTCTTAGGGTAAACGGGAAGATTCTTAGGGTGAATGGGAAGATTCTCTAAGTGAATTGGCACAATCTTGGTAAATGCGCAGATTATTAGGGTGAATGGGAAGATCCTCAGGATGAATGGGCTAATTCTCAGGGTGAATGGGCAGATTTTCGGTGTGGATGGGTAGATTATTATCAGAGTAAATGGGCGGATTCTCTGGCTGAATGGACAGATTCTCAGGGTGAGTGGGCAGATTCTCAGGGTTAATGGGTACATTTTCAGGGTGAATGGGAAGATCCTCTGGATGAATGGGCAGATTCTCAGGGTAAATGCACAGAGTCTGGTTGATGGGCAGATTCTCAGGGTAAATGCTCAAATTCTCAAGGTGAATGGGCAGATTATCAGTATTGATGGGTAGACTCTTAGGATGAATGGGTAGATTCTCAGGGTGAAATGGCAGATTCTCTGAATAAGTGGGCAGATTCTCAGGGTGAATGGGAAGATTCTCAGGGTGAACGTGCAGATGTTCAGTGTGGATGGGTAGATTATTATCATGGTAAATGCATGGATTCTCTGGCTGAATGGACAGATTCTCAGGATGAGTGGGCAGATTCTCAGGGTTATGGGTAGATTCTCAGGGTGAATGGGAAGATCCTCAGGATGAATGGGCAGATTCTCAGGGTAAATGTGCAGATTCTCATGGTTGATGGGTAGATTCTTAGAGTGAACAGGCAGATTCTCAGGGTGAATGGGCAGATTCTCTGTATTGATGGGTAGATTCTTAGGATAAATGGGTAGATTCTCAGGGTGAATGTGCAGATTCTCAGAATTAATGGGCAGATTCTCAGGGTGAATGGGTAGATTTTCAGGGTGAATGGCCAGATTCTCAGGGTGAATGGGTAGATTCTCAGGGTGAACGGGCAGATGTTCAGTGTGGATGGGTAGATTATTATCATGGTAAATGCGCGGATTCTCTGGCTGAATGGACAGATTCTCAGGATGAGTGGGCAGATATTCAGTGTGGATGGGTAGATTATTATCAGGGTAAAGGCATGAATTCTCTGGCTGAATGGACATATTCTCAGGGTGAGTGGGCAGATTCTCAGGGTTGATTGTTAAATTATCAGGGTAAATGCGCAGATTCTAGAGGGAATGGGAAGATCCTCAGGATGAATGGGCAGATCCTCAGGATGAATGGGCAGATCCTCAGGATGAATGGGCAGATTCTCAGGATGAACGGGCAGATTTTCAGTGTGGATGGGTAGATTATTATCAGGGTAATGCGTAAATTCTCTGGCTGAATGGACAGATTCTCAGGGTGAGTGGGCAGATTCTCAGGGTGAGTGCGCAGATTCTCAGAGTGAGTGGACAGACCAGTTTCCGGGGTTAATGGGTATTATCAGCGCAGAACCAAAAGAGAAGCAGAAGATACCTGTGTTAGTAATTAGCAAGAACAAGAAACCTTCACCTGCAGGTTTTGTTTTTTAAATGGCAACTTACTCGGGATAAAGAAAGCTGTTATCAACCAAAGCTAAGTGAGTACAAAATACATGGCATTCTCTCCAAAATATTTACAGTTAGATATGCCAGAGGGAAGCCTTGGGGATTATCACCGCTTCATGCAAACATGTCCTGTTTTATTACATGCTCCTGAGCAGTTTCACAGTATTTTGCACACTTTTAATCTCAGAAAGAAAGAAAAAAAAAGAAGTAAAATATCATCTGTTTGGGTTTGACAGCAAACCCGATGTCAGGAATCGGATGCTGTCATGTGCCCGCCTGTGTCCCACAAATTATCATTGATATTTATTTATAAGGAACTATTCTGGGGAAATGGTTCTAAACATGGA